ATCAAACCCGCCAAAAATTTAAAGTTTTAATGACTTTTAAATGAAATAAGATTTTTAATTAATTGTTCTGTGAAATGCTATTAAAATATATAATTCGTGATATTATACAGAAAAAATGAGAAAAATTTTAACTTCAAATCTGTGCCTAATACCTTTAAAGTCTAAACTCTGTGTCAAATGTCCAACTTAACTGCTGATTTTATAAACCTGAGGATCGGACTACCTTAATATAAACTTAAAAGTCTTCTTTACTACTAGACATCAAGGATCCCGACATTCAGTATTTAGAAAATCTGAAGATAACAAACAGTTATCATGCTCTAAAACCGAACAAAAAAATGTTAGCAGAGCAAACACGGACCTCTGATATTTGGTATTAAAATGGAAGTCGGAGTATATATGTCAGTGTGAAAATAATGGACTTGATTAGAGATGGTAGTTGCAAACAAAGTCATTATTTCAACCATATAGTTTTCAAAATGTGCGTAATTACTATGTTTTAAAAATTCTTTTATATGCGTCCATTGCTTGCCTACTAGTATTTTATGAATTTCAATTAGTGCAATTAAATAAAAAAAATTCTGTGAAATTCAAGGCACTTATTGCCTGACGTCACGGCGTCAGGTTGTATAAGGATTGATATTTTCATAATCCGAAACTAATAGATCATACCTAGAGAGCTAGATGTTGTGCAAGCTGATGTACATCGGAATTCTTTATCTGCATTTTTTAAGGAAACAGTTTTTCAGAAAAAAGAATAATATTACTGATGCAAAATACTGCAGTGTTTACTTCCTTTTCTCATTTGCATGGAACAATTATTCCATGTTATTCACCGTTTCAATATGTCCGTGTGTCAATTTTTCTTCAATTCTATACTACTGGATCAGTCCATTAATATTCTACGAAAGGGTGGAATCGCTCTTTTCGCGCCAAATATCACTGCTTTCTTCGCGCCTTTTCCTTGGATCGTTATATTGCATGAATGGGTGTTCCATCTTCCATTGAATCAAAGTTTATCCTTTAGATGCACACCATAAATAAGAAACAAGTGCAAAATCTTGGACTTTTCGTTCAACACAGGTCTAGTTGTGAATTTACTTATTTCGTTCTCATAATGATAGTGGGACCCCCCCCCCCTTTTTAAGAAAAAAAAATGATCACACATTACTACTGTTTACTTCAGTAGAGAACATACACGCCAACAAAATGTTTATATTTAATTATATCTATCTTTTAGAATGTTGAAAATGCATTATTAGGTAACAGATTTTATAATAGGTGTTACAAAGAAGTTCGAAATCAAGTAATTTAGATCCAAGGGCAGATTACTCTACTTGCAGAAAACCCAACGGAATACCAACTCTTTAGTATGTAGTGTAGAGATGATTCTTCTAAAAGTTGAATAAAATCAAGATTTCATTTACGCAAGGTTCTCAAAAACAAAAGTGATGCTCAGAAGGTTTATCACTCCTCATGCAGATATTGATTGATTTAGTCAGGCAAGCTTTTTAAAGAGCTGTTACTTGTAATACAGGTAAGATCAGGAGGTTTAAAGTAAGAGTTGTACTCTGTTGATCATTAAGTAGTTTTATTCTTTAATGTATTCTTCTCTCAGTTGTGTATTTACTATTATTTAGGAGACAAGTGCATAGATTTCATGTTTCAAATTTTGAATCATAATTGTTGTATAATAAAGGATTCTGTCACACCAAGCTGCCCCCCCCCCTCCCAAGGAGTTATTACAGCGTTGTTAATTTTTTTATCGCCGTGCGAAGTTGTGACGGCTTTGGAGGAGTTGTCACTTCGCGTTCTGCACCCTGAATAAAATTCAGAAGTAGCTAGTGTAATACATATTTAAAAAGGAATTTGTGATGAAAAGATTTTAATGTACAACACTTCAACAACGCCGTGAACGCGTATTGTGATGGCCAAAGGATACAGTAGAAAATCAATGGATCGCAATGATCGCAGTGACAACTCCTTGTTGTCACGTAATCCAACTCAAACTAGAAGTCTCTGTCGAGACTGTACCTCCATTGGTCCGTACTTATAAGAAAGGAAGAGAAAAGTATCCATTGGAACTTGAAACTTTATAACAGCAATAAATATAATAATGATCCTTGATTAAGTCTGATTTTTGGCAACTACATATGTACTGTGTCAAATTAAATTGAAATCAGACCAAAACTGTATGAAGAGTAGGCTTTTTACAAATATACTACGGTTTTGGTCCAATATCAATATAACTTGGCACACAAGTACACTACGCTAATATATATAATTAAGTGCATCAGTTTTTGATTTCGATGAACGATGTTGCCATGGTCACTAAAAAAAGAATTATCTGTGAAATTTCTTTAAAACGCTACTTTTTGTCTAATTTTAAAATAACTTGGCACACAAGTTACATAATTAAGTGCATCGGTTTTTGATTTCGATGAACGGTGTTGCCATGGTCACTAAGAATAGAATTATCCCTGAAATTCCTTTAAAATGCTACTCCTGCTAAAGATTTTGTCTAATTTCAATATAACTTGGCATGCAGGTAGACTACTCTAAGATAAATATAATTGTTAACGATTTTTGATTTCGATGAACGGTGTTGTCATGGTAACTATAAATAGAAATTTCTGTTAAATTCCTTTAAACCGCTACTCCTCCTTCAGTTTTCGTCCGATTTCAATATAACATGGCATGCAAGTAGACTTCACTAAGATACAAAATTGGCAAATAAGCAGACTATATTAAGATATATAATTTAAGGCATCAGTTTTCGATTTCGATGAACGGTGTTGCAATGGTTACTAAAAATAAAAATTACTGTGTTGTTCCTTTAAAAGGCTTCTCCTCCTACAGTTTTGGTCTCATTTCAATATAATTTGACACACAAGTAGACTACACTAAGATACATATTTTCGGTCATCCAATTTAAATTTAGATGAATGGTGTTTTAATGGTAACTACAAACAGAAATTTCTGTTAAATTCTTTTAAAACGAACACCTTCTTCAATTTATGTCTGATTTCAATATAATTTGGCACACAAGTATATTACAAATTTACATTATTCTATTATTTCTGCTTGTTGAAAAGTCAAATCCAAGTGCTACTTTTCTATGCATGAACGGACCAGTAGAGCTATAAGAGACCTCTGGTTTCTTACCTTATCTAGAGAACGGCGCAACTTGGGGGAAGAAAACCCGTGCTAACACCTATAGAAACTTCGTGGATGACTATGAGTGTGTCCCCGAGGCGAATCGCAAGACCCGCTTACAGAAAGTCAGGACACTCGAACTCATGCTCGGTCAGATCGCAAATTATACTCCTGTTATAAAAAGGAACAATATAGTAAATAATTCTACAACACTTAGGGACATATGGCAGATTATCTGCTCACACTATGGATTTCAGTCCACTGATACCCATTTCTTGGACTTTAATTACAGACGAATGAAAGACATGAGGACTTATTTCAGAGATTAATGGCGTTCACTGAAGATAACCTCTTGAAAACTTAACTAGGTATAACATACAATGACCAAAAAATTCAAGAGGATGAAGAACTTGTCCCTACATTGAAGCCTGAAATTTTCCAAGCCCTTGATTCGCTACTACGAAATCATAGGATCCCAGACCTATGCGCACTCAGTTTCCGTCCGTGAAAAAAAAAATCGTCACCGCAAGTCCAAAAATCTTGTCCTTTGTGCAAAGCCTCTGGTAGTCCATACAATTACTACCTTAGTAAGTGTTCATACCTACCCCAAAGTGACAAAAAGTACTTTGCGAAGGCAAGACAGATAATGGGTACAAGACAATAACCAGTGCAGTGATGAAGAGGAAATGAAATATCATTTTATTCAGGATGCCTCTGTTGGCAGGGTAAAAATCCGCCAATCTCCGTACATTGATGCATTTCTGGCACACCATTCTGTTCGTATTACCATAGACAGAGGCGCAACTGGTAACATGATTCGATCGGATGTTGCCAACAACCTACAAGAATCAGTCACCTCTTCACAATATGCCCATCAGGCCGATGGATTATCACCGCTCCATGTATCTGGTGAGACTCGACTTATCTTCAATCATACGCAAGAGTTTTAAAGGACTAGTTGTTGACAATCTGGACACTCCCATTGTGGCTGGAATTCCATTTATGGAGGCAAATGACATTATAATCAGACCCGCCCGACAGGAAGTCAGAATTAGTTACAAGTGTGTATTCCGATATGTAACTAAAGCTCAGAAAGGACACCAATCCATTTGGCTCACACAAGTACTCCGAGCTCCAGTGGCCCACACCACAACCCTGTGGCCAGGTGAATACATTAAGGTCAAAATTCCCGACAATATGACTAGTTCAGATAAGTACAACATATTTTCGCTGGAGCCCACATCATGCCAAAGTTTTACAACAAATTGACCCTTCCTTCATTTATAGACAGTGTGGCCGTCAAAATACGGATTGCAATTTGTCGAATGATCCTTGTACCAGTTAAACGAAACCAGCACTTGTGCCAAGTGAGATCCACTTCCTCCCCGGATGTTTCTCCATATGAAACACCAAAGTCAGCAAAAGATCAACCATACTTTCTGCTGCAGTCAACATTGACCCTGATAATACTCTTTTCCCAAGATGAAAGCACAGTGACTCGAGACATACAATGAAGTGTTTGACGACATTTGACGAGTTAGAGGCATGTGGTGTCTTCACTAAGCCAGAGATTGTGATGAAAATCAACGTTGAGTATGCAAACCCATCAATTCTAATCAAAGAGCCATCTAGATGCTTTAGATTAGTTACAGCCTTTGTAGATTGTGGGAGATGCAGCAAGCCTCAGCCATCGCTTATGCCTGACGTAAATTCGACTCTCCGACAAATTGCTCAGTGGAGATATACTGTAATAACAGACCCTACACGGGCATACTATCAGACCCCCTAGCAAAAGAATCCATGAAGTACTGCGGTGTTGTAACCCCCTTTCGTGGCGTCAGTGTTTACGCTCGTTCAGCAATTGGTATGCCTGGCTCAGAGACCATTTTAGAGGAGCTGACCTGTAGAGTTTTGGGTGACTTAGTCCAGGAAGGGGTAATTGCTAAGTTAGCCGATGATTTGTATTGTGGTCGATCTACAGGACTGTGTTATAAACAACCTACCCTCTTACGATAAGTGTGATGAATCGCCTCGTGAATCGATCGACTTGGAAAACAACTGAACCAATCCAACATGCCCATTACCACCACCAATACCTACTATTTTCTCGGATCCACCAACTCCACTTCATGATCAACCCCCATCGGAAAAACTGACAGAACCACTAGTTTCTGAGATAACACACCCTGGCAGTGCTGAACCTTTTACCCCTTCTCGCAACGATGCTGTCCTTCAACCTAGACCCATCCTTGTTCGCCATCCACCGAAGTGGTTGTGTGCTTACGTATGTGATAAAACCGTATGATTTTTTTCCTACATATTTCTATGTAAAACTTTGATCAGTGATTCTGGAGAAAAGGATTTTTTTTTCTTATATATATTTCTATGTAAAACATTGTTCAGCCATTGTGGCCCGTCCTACAACCGGGGGTCATGATTTGAACAAACTTGAATCTACACTACTTGAGAATGCTTCCATATGAGTTTCATTATTCCTGGCCCAGTGGTTTTGGAGAAGATTTTTAAATGATTTTTCCTATATATTCATATTGTGAATATTGTGGTCCTGACTTACCCCTGGGGGTCATGATTTGAACAAACTTGATTCCACACTACCTGAGGATGTTTCCACATGAGTTTCAACTTTCCTGGCCCAATGGTTCTGGTGATTTTTAAAAGATGCCATTTTTTTTTATTTTTCAATTTATTATCTCCCCTCGGAAAACGGTTTGGCCCTTCATTTGAGCAAACATGAATTCCCTACACCCAAGAATACTTTGTGGCAAGTTTGGTTGAAATTGGCCTTAGCGGATCATGAGAATGCGATGTAAATGTGAAACGTTTACTACAACGACAGACGACGGACAAATTTGGATCAGGAAAGCTCACTTGAGTCTTAAAAGTGTTTAAAACTTACATGTTAATAAAATATAATATTTAGGGAATTTAGGGAAAATAATAGCTTCGTATGTTTATATCAATATATTTGTCAATATTTATCAAATGAATGTTGTCACCGAACCATACGGATAACCCTCGTAAATTTTATTAAAATTCACAAATCAAGAGAGAAAAAGAAAGAAAAAGGAGACAGTGACAGAGAAAAAGAAAATTTAATAAACTCACTTTTCCATCTGTGTCAGTGTTTGGGGTTGGACAAAATCCGTATATTTTTGGTATCAGTCCATGTCCAAACGATTCATTCAAAAGCACATTTCTAGTCCCAAGTCTTTGATGCACCACCTGTTAAAATAACGGTTGATCGATTGATAGATCAAAAGATTAGATAAATAATGAAGATCTAGAGATAGTCAGAGAGGGGGAGAGAGAGAGACTTAAACTTGATTATCACATTTGAGAAATTTTGAATGTAACTTGATCACTATTTACCTCTTTTTCTTCCAAAAATATCATTCCATCGCAGATTCCATTTGCAATTTTACAAAGCTTGTTCAAAGTTCTACCATCAGCGTTTATCCTTTCATATTTTAACCAAATGTCAAGTTGACCTTTGTTGCAGTATTCAAGTACTATATAGGGTCCACCTTTGAATGAAAAGATGATAATACAATAAATCTGTAAACTTAATGTTTCAGAAAATAGTCAGATTGATATAAAAAAAAATACTAAATGTTCACCGTGCTTTTAAAATTATACTTATATATTAAAAAAAATTCTACTTTTTCTACTAATCTTAAGATCAACTGTACAGTAAGACAATAAATCACAATAAAATGATGTGAATAAAACTAAAATAAAACAGAATGCTATGTTGTGATATTTCTTTTGATTTTTGAAAAAAGTAATGTTAAAATGTTGGCTATATAATAAAACTTCAAACATTGAAATGAATTCTTACGGATCTTGTCGTTTAATACAGCTCCAACAAATCTCAAAATATTCTCATGAATCCCCACAAAAAGGTTGAAATCAATCTTGGCATGCATAAGGACTTTGTCTGTGCTTGTGTAACCCTCTTCAAGAGAACCTTCAATGGTCATCATTTCAACCAATTCAAAGAATGATAAGTATAATGAAAAAAAAATCAAAAATATACACTAGACAAAATTGCTAACGCACCACTTGTTAATTCTTATTTGTGAATTGAACATTTGCCAGATCAGTACTAATGTATATAATATGTCATTATTTCCAAAACAGTTTGTTTGACAAAAGTCTTGCTTTCATGGAGTAGTCACCCAGTTATAAATCATATAAGAAATTGTCATTCACTCTCATGTCACCTAGTAATCATCCGGCGCCTTAGTGTCCATACCAAATCCACCCAACTTCCGGTTGACCTAGTTTTGTGGAACAATTTTCAACTTATAGACATATTTATATACCAAATACATCACAAGATGGTTTTTAAACTTAAAACATTAATTCTCATAGGTGGTGCGTAAGCAATTTTGTCCAGTGTATATACCGGTAACCTGTTTGTATTAAGGATGTTACACTTAGATTCAATGTAAATGTATATGTTTTCTCATTGTGATAGATTAAAAACAATTATCTTACTTTTCATTACTTTTGCTACTAAAGTTCTTTGCGCTCTGTATATTTTATAAATATCCGCAAAGTTTCCTTGTTTTATTAGAGGCCCAAATGTAATGGTGGTACACGAAATTTTCTGATGTTGCTCATCTTGTTGCTGTGTGCCAATGCCGTCGTGATAGATCAATGTCCTGCTCTAAAATGCCATATTATTATTATAGATTTGGAATTTCACAGGATTTGAAATTCAGAAATACTTTTTTTTTTCAAAAATAAGGATTCAAAATCTAATCTTTTTTAATAACTAAAAGGAAAGAAAATATTTGAGTTATTCTTTTTCTCTCTTTTTATTTTTTGAAGTCTGATGTTAAGCTATTATGAATTATTTATACTAATCTTAACTTTTAAACGTATTTAAATGTTACATACATCAACAAATACTTTACACAAAACTGATTATGAGTTTTCCACTGATTTCGAGTTAAGAGCCAGTCCGCGAGAAAACCATGCAAAATTCAAAAAATCGTCCAAATGGAAGGTTGCAACTTGGGAATTTTTAGTGGCTTAAAATTTTCTACATAAAGGTAGAAGTCAGAATATCCACCAAAAAAATGCCGAATCCTGCATCTATTTTTAGCAACAGCTCATTTGCATATTTGTCGAAAATCACACAAAAGGATGATGTGACATAACTGCTATCTGGGGCCCCTTTTTCTACGACAATAGAGGGATATGCGTGCCCGAGAAGACCTAATATGGCTATTGTTATTATTTCGCACTTAGTCATTGTCCAATCTGATGACAGAACAACAAAACATGCTGGTTTACTACGTTTACATTCTATCGCAGACACGTGGTTTTGGTCAATTTACCTGTTGTCCTTTTCTACATTTCGAACTTTTATAATGGTCAGCCAATGCTGTTTATACTTAATAATACGCATGGATTTTCAGCATTTACGGTTTTTAGGACAAGAAATGCACATAAAACTTGTATTCACCAATACTCAGGTATACGTGTAGACCTAGCGCATTGCTCACCAAACACGCTACAAAACTTTAAATTAATGTATATCATGTATATTCTATCAATTGTTTTTAACTGAAATTAAATTTTACTGTGGTCTCGGAAATGGTACATATGTATATCCCTGTCTAATCTGTGACTCAAATGCATAAAAAATCGGAAAGCAGTAAAATTCCAAGCATGTTACCATAGTATTTTTGTGGTACTCACTCGTAACGAATTTTATTTAGCTGATTGGTCAGTTAGAAATTATCGCTTGTGCCTTTATTAGCATATGAATTCATTCTTACGTCAGAAAATCTAGTTCCGTCGATCTGTTTATAATGGGAAAGGCCAACTAGATTTTACATTTTTTTAAAAAATAGCATGTGAGCGCAGTTAGGTACAATTTTCCCCTTTCATGTATAGGTAGATTTGAATAAAATACAGTGACCAGCCAAAGGAGAAAATTGTACCTACATGCGCTCGTATATTTTAAGGGCTTCAAAGAGTGGGGCGGGGTTAAAATGCAATGGGAATTGAATGTAAACATGATACCCCTACCCCAATAAAAGATCTATATCTTTCAAATCACATTCCTATTTTTGTTAAAATTAGTATTCTATAAAGGTACACATATCAGTGATTAGTTACATACAAAAATTTGAGTAAAATTTAGACATTTAATTTTTTTGTCAGTATACGAGGGGCCGCAAGTCACCTCATCCTTTAATGGAAAATGTATACAAATTGATCAAGTCAAAAAGTTACCTTTTGTCATTAGTTTATTTTCAAATTTTGTTTTATTTTTAAAGTCACGCTCCAATTAACACCATTAATGAGGAAAAACCTAATTCAAATGAATGTTTTATTTTTTACACATCTATTAATAGATCCTAAATAAATGAGTATGATTTTAAACCATTTTTAGATGCTCGTTTCTCTCAAGACCAAGGTTGAAATTAAATTAAATTAATTGTTACTTTAAGAATGATCTAAGGTCTACTCTGTATTAAAATATTGAGCTTGGGAAATAATATCTACATGTTGTAAATTAACTTTGAAATACCATATTTTGCTACAATTTCACATATTTTAGATAACAGTCTTTTACCATATTTTTGGATTATTTCTATGATATTTAAATGAGAAAGAGAAGATTCTTAACCTAATATATTTTTAGAAGAGGAATAACTGATATGGATACTTCATATAACTTTATTTTGCTTATTTTAGCCCCTTGTTACCAATTTGCTGGAGTTAAATTGTTATCTCCCCTTGTTGGAACTCTTTTGTATTATTAGGTAAAATGTGACAGGTATGTCAATATGGAAAGAATTAAGTCATGTATGATCATTTTTTCTTCACCTAGGGAGTTGTTGCGGAGCATTATTCCACTATGAAAGAAGGAAAACTTATTTTAAGATATTTGAATGTAAGAAAAAAACAACAACTTATCTTAATGAAAAACAAATAACAGGAAGCAATTTCAGTGTGGGGGAGGGGGGACAACCTACATTATCAACTACCAAGAATTCCATAGAAAGTAAAAAAAAATAAAAGGTCATCAGATGTTTTTCTTTTTTATTTGGGGCATATGCATGTAGCAGCTTTGTTTTCTATAGGGTTCTGTCCTCGGGGAATCTACATGTATTTCATGGTAATTAACAGGTACCAAATTTCTCCTAACAAGTACAATTGAATAGGAAATTAAATCGAATAATAACATATTTTTAATCAAAATAAAAATATACAATTGATATTTTGTTTAAGGCACCTGGCCCCGTTCAAGTTCATTTTATTCACTCAAACCATTTCAGGTACATGGGGACAATGAAGAATATTTACAACATATAAATTCAGGTCAGAGGACAAGTATATGATATACATACTCAGAATATGAAAAGGAAAAAAAAACACATATGAAACATGTAATAATAAAATGAACTAGAGCCGAGCTCGTTGCAAAGCAACGAGTAGGTCTTCCGTCCTGTTTGACCGGAAGTAACTTTTATTTAAAAAAAATAGAGTAATGAAGTCCAAAAATGGCTTAATCCTCCAAATCTATGTTAAGTATAGCAAAATTAAGCCATTCTTTGGTACTTCCGGTTTGACCGGAAGTGACGACGACAGACGGAAAATTAATATTTAAGCTTCTAGTGAGACACGTTGCCCAAAAACCTGTCAAAAACGGCAAAAATATGCATTTTCTGACTACTTCCGGTTCGACCGGAAGTGACGTCGCCGGACGTATTTTGACGACCCCATTAGATAAAGCTTAATATTTTGAACAACTTTGCTTCTTTGATGCATAACAAATTCTCAATACTTTTTGAGATATCTGGAAAAAATTTGTGGCCCCTCTAAGTCCCTTAATTTAGGGGTCAGCCCTTTTTTTGATATATCATTTGAAAGATCTTCTAATTCTGCACAAATTATGTTCTATATATTTTAACACTATATTTTTAGTTTAGAAGATAAAAAGAAAAATAGGAGTAATTTTTGGTTCTTTAAAGCGTTCTAATTTTTGACCCCTATATAGCGCCATTTTGAATACAGAAATCGAAAAACAAAAACTGATGTGCACAACTTCGATCCTTCTATTATCAAAAATCAGTAGAATTTCTGTTCCAGCTTTAGCCGTCTCTGAGCCTTTGTCTGGAAACGAAAGCCTATAAATTTTCCTTTAAAGGGGAATAACTCTAAACCGGAAGTGGCTTTTTGAAATTTTAGACATTATTCTGATAGAATTTATTAACGTCTATAACGTCTGAAAATTTGAGCGAAATCCGTTGAGAAATGAGCGAGATATGAGGTCTCAAAGTTGCGGTCTAGGAAGCAGAAGAAAAAAAAGAATAACTAGGAGACTTACTGTTCACAGAACAATAAGAGGTCTTTCCAGCTTTTTAAGTGTTCCCGTGTCATTTGGGTTGAAAAAAAGAACAAAAACACAAAAAAAAAAAAAAAAATGAAAAAAATAAATCATGAAGTGCTCCAGCAGGATTCGATCCCTGGACCCTCTGATTAGCAGGCGAGCGCTCTAACCAGTACGCCACGGGTTCCGTTGAAATTGTCTTGTATTATAGTCGAGTTAAAGTTACCGGAATTTCCTTGATTCATTGACTAGTCAAAGAGATCCAGTTAATAAACTTCTGACAAGCTCCTGGTTGTATATGTGAGTTGGAATGAGATTGTTTTCGAGTTAATATGTAAGGGATATTGTCTGATTACAATTATGATATTGCTATTAACGGGGATACATGCATTTGAGGTTGCGTAGCAA